TATACTCAATTTATAAGAATATATCATATCATTGGTTATGCGGTCATAAATATAAACAGAGGATATCTATATGTAAAACCACCGGTAACTCATATTTTTCCAAAAATGGCCTTATACCACTACCAAAAAAGGAACGACTCATTTAATACCAATCCATTACGAACAGAAGGCTTCGGGTGTCAGTCGAAAATCCTGTAACACGCGTTGTCGGTGCCGGTGAAAACCGCCGGAAAACATTCCCCGCGACACGGTTTCTCGACCCAGTGAGCGCCCGTCGAAATCCCGTGAAATTTAGCCCGCCGCGACTAATCGTGATCGTCTGAAACGGCCAGACGGGCTGTAACATCGATATTTCGCCGGGTTTTCATCCGCTGGATCAACGAACGCCGCCGAAACACGTCCGTCCAATTGAATTCCAACGCGAGAGGGTTGATCGATCGCTAACCCTCGTCGATCTCGAGGACCGACCCCTGACGAAACGAGCGAGCAAAGGTCACGAGAACATGATAATCGCATTTCCCACTGGGCCGAATATTTTCGTCGACTCGTAGTTAGAACGACATAAATTGCTCTCCACAGTCGGACGGTTCTGTGAAATTTGAATCTTTGTTTTACAAATTAACCCCCTTTCCAGTGATTCTCCAGTTTCCATTGGGAAGCAGATTTAGATTGCATTTAGAAAGTGTACAGGTTGTTTGTTTTCGCGACTGTTTAATCAGTCAACTGCGCCGGCCGGTGCACACGTGATTTTAAAGCTTGAAACGATGCCATGTCATTCTTTCGACCATGAATTATTTATTTTTTCAGATAAACATGCAAATCTTCTTCGTGTCGCTTTGAATGAAATGATAACATGTAATTCTTTCAGCGACGCTAAAGCGTAAAATGATAGTATGAGATTCTTTCGACGATGAATTATTTATTTTTTCAGATAAACATGCAATTCTTCTTCGTGTGGCTTTGGTTTTTCATTGAAATATACTTTGGGGGAATTCCTTCTGCGCTTGGCGAATACACACTTCGTGCTTTGATTTTATTCTCGGAATAAATTAAATAAATAAATATTCTCTCAGAACGAGAGATTTTCGAAAGTGAATTTCACAGTTAATAGGTTGAACTTCGATTCTTTATTATTCTTTTATTGCTGTAGAATGATTGACAGTTTGGTTGTGACGTTATGAACACTAGATTTACAGTCGATTTGACTCATGTTGAATTTTATAAACATTATTTGGTGAATGTTTTGGTCGATTTCTATTGATACAGGTACACTAATGTGTATCCTAGTTTTTAAACCTCTGATTTCCAAAATCTGAATCAACGAATATGAATTTCTCTGCGGACTATAAAAGATGATTATTAGTACAGTATCATAGTGTAAATATTAATTTCTGTTTCACGCGGTAGATAACTACGGTTTCAAAGAACATGAATTTTTCAAGAAGTTTTATGCGCAGCATAACACTGCCTCTCCGTTCGCAACATTATAGTTCTTTTTAATCGCAGCGTATTAACGCTTGCTTTCAAGGATAATCATGCTCTCGAAGCATTTGAATTTTTAACGCTCATTTAAATTTGATATAAAGCCGCATCTCCACTCGTGATATTAATGAATATTTTTCAGAGAAAGCTCGTCAACACAGTTTACCTATGAAACTTTTAGAGAAACTTTGACTATCGCATAAAACTGCATCCTCATTGGTCTGTTCTCGTTAATGGAATCCACTAACGTTCGCAAATGAGCCATTTTCTGTTTTATGGTATAGTCCATTTATTCGTACATCAATGTATTTAAGCGCTTTCGTTCTCATCGACTAAAAAAGTTGGTAAACATTAATAAAGTCTTAAAAAAAGAATTGATGTTTCAACTACGAGTGGACTTATACCACTTTCGAATAAAAAAGAAAACGGTTCAAACAATTATTCCCTTCACGGTATTTGCATCTTCGGCGAAAGTTCGAGTGCCGTGTTACAGCATGATTTCCAATTCGAAATTTACGGTTCGGCCAAAATTTAAAGTTTCCGGGTTTAAACCGTGTTGCGCGCGGTTAATCGAACCTCTATAATGTCTCGTGTGCGCATTAGGACGTTTTAGAATTACGATCGCAGCGTATAATTCGAAACCAATTCAGCTGCAGCGTTAAATTTCATTTACACGGGTTACTCGGGCGTCCATGAATTGGATTTGATTTGCAGTAACGATTCGGTTGCTCGTAGTTTGTTTAGACTGTATCGATGAGATTTGTCCGATTCAATTTGTAAATCCGGTTGAGAGGAAAATTGCGAGGCGTTCGAGAAAAATAAACTCCGCCGGACGGGTTAAATTGTGTGCGAACAATTGCTGAACTGTTCATTGATCTAATTTATCAACGACGGGTTGCGCAATGTTATTGACACGATGATATTATCACATTTTTTAGGAAATATTCTATTATTTCCTAAATAAAGTGGGAACGTCATTTGAATTCCCACGTTTTCCCGCTCTTTACCTCCGTAAAAATGGCGGATCGTAACGGAGATATGTTTCCAGAATAAATTTGCAACTTTTCGTTGAAACAAGTGATTAAAATGATTTGATAAAGAAGATTAAAGATAGACGAGTAGATATCTTTTTATAAAACTCAGCAAAATTAAATGAAAACTAACGATATTTGTAAAATTGTTGTAATTATATAGGCAACCAAGTATTTTGAATCAAAGGAGTTTATTAATGGACATTAACTTCGTTACAAATCTTTGTATTTGTCTAATAATTAGTAATTAAGAAAGGACACAGAGAACAGAGTTTATTTACATATAATAATTATCAAAGGTTTGGACACTTCCGGTCAGCTGTCCTTGTTTTCGCTACAATTTCCGGCCTTTCCCTTCATGTAATGGATTAATGGAAACCTGCGGTCACGTGTTCAATGGGATGTTAATAGATTGGAGCTAAATAATCAATTAAGCCTCATTAATCGAATTGCATTCCGATAGGAATTAAATTAGCGAATCCATTGAACCTGTAATACCTTTTTCGAGATGCACAAGGGTAACGCAATAATTATGCAGCAGTATCTATATAAAATGTATTTAATAATATACAAAATTTAATAATATATATTTAAAAATATTCAATAAATTATTAATGCATTATAACATGTACACTAACAAAAATCATTACAAATTTATTTAAACGCATTACCATGCCGACCATTGAAAAGTGTACAAAGACATTTTAAGTAACACATTACGTGCCGGTTAATTTTCAGAAAACTGAATTGTGCGGATGTTTTCAATGCTCTGGTAATTAGCAAACTTGTATAGCTAAGTGTCTTTCTATAAAAACGAGATTTCTCGTTACCAGTACGCAATGTGTTAAGAGAATGAACGAGAACAAAAGTTTTTAATTAAACCATCAAACTTTCAAAGGAAACCACGATCTGCAGAAATTTAAACTCACAACAAGAATGATCAACGAAGAACGACTGCCATTTTAAACGCGAAACCGTTAAGTCCCGTTTTCATTCACGTCGCCGAGTAACGTCGCAGTCGAAGTATTCCATACAAAGGATTTCCACGGGAAATTGGTTGCCACAGAATTCCTCGTTTAATTCCCGCGAATTGAACATTTGTAATTCGTTTCCGCGGTTGCAACGTTCGACATGACCACCTTCGAACTGGTTAGGTTAGGTTGCATTTTTCACCGAAGAAAGATGGCCGCGCGGGAGCTCTCGGAGTACGGCCGCGGCTTATTCATCACGGCCATGAATAATAATCAAGGGAAGAATAACTGCGATTCCGTGGGAACCTTATGAATTCCGCCGGATCTTCCGCGAATCAGTTTATTTCAAGTTGTAATTACGTGCCGAAGGAACAATGTGGTAGATGCAAATGCGCCGCGTCTTCTTGGGAACCGGGCTTAAGTGGCAGAAAGCCGGCCGTGGAAAAATGTAAACGAGGAGTGGCGTTATTATTTTTGCATTTGAAATCGACAGTACTCGCATACCACGTTAATTTACTTGCAATGAGCGACGCTTATTTTTGGAGCACGCTGTGTTGAATGTTATTTTCTAATTCCGGTTGCTTGGGTTTCATCAAGAGCAGTTTCAGGGGACCTTCAGTCTAGAGAAGCTTCCATATATTCAATGTTTCTTTGAAACGTTTCATATTCAATCGAATTAAAAGTTCTTCATTATAAAGAACGATTGAATTATGTACAGGATGTCCTACAGATTTCTATTGCTCCAAAAACGAATCAAGTTGAAATTATTACACGAAATATGTAGTTTACTTTGAACTCCTATTTCTTACGAAAACTACCAATGGACCCAATTCTTTGGGCAACTCTATATAGATCATCATATTCTCCATGTTCCACGTTTTTACAACATTTATCTTTTAACATTCCTAAATACCAGAAATATATTCCATATACTCACAAATTCCTAATTTACGCCGTTACCATACTTAGTTTCAATCCTGATACTCTACTTAATCATTAACAAAACGCTCCTCCAATTCAGTTAGGAAGCTCTAGCTTCTAAAAAAACCCTCGCATGAAGACTCTCGGATCACCCGGTACGCTAACCGACTAAAAAACTAAACGGCAACGGGATTGTTTCACTCAAAAATCGTTGCAGCGCCACCGGGAGGTCCAATGAATTTAAAGTTCATTTCGCATAAAGCGGCGGGCATATTGTAGGGCCGCGGACATTTCGATTTCTGCCGCGATACACGTGTCCCGCGCGCGACATCCCATTATTTCCGGCGCCGGCCATATTGGTTCCCTCCTCGGGAAACGAAATCGA